TATTCAACTTGGCCTTATTTGTTTTGTATTACCATATCTTGATTCAACATGATTTCCAAAGATTCATCTCCTAACCCAAAGTCTAACAAATTATCACCCTGCCCCTCCCAACCTCATCCCTGCTGAACACAATAGATTAAATAGATGCAAATGGTATGTGTCCAGTGATCAGAGGAACAGGTATAGAGATAAGAGTCATCACAGAAGTAATAATATTTTGAAGCAGGATTGAGATTTATATGGGTCTGGCAAAATAGGAGTGGCTAGAGAAGGAATGTCATGTCCATGAAACAAGAATGATTAGTAAATTAATGAATCTTGACAGAAGATCAGATTTATCATGATGGGTATTTTATAATCATAATATTGCAAACTTCCAAGGAAAGTTAGGTATTTGTTTCTAGAGAGAAAAATTAACCTGAAATCAATACAGCTGTGATATATTTGAAAGAAGCACAAAATAATCATATTCTTCTTTCAGGTGAAGAGAAGATCACTGAAGCCATGATATATGACTAATGATAAGTACACTTCCTTGTACTGGAGTAGTTTCAATTGGTAAATAAAGAAAACATGTGGCATGGACAAAAAGAAATATGGAAAAATTAATGTCATATCAAAGCCGATAGATCTCCCTGATGAACTGAACTGAAGGTCACTTATGAAAAAAATGTAATTTATTGAAATGACAATTTAGAATATTACTTTTCAATCAAAATTTTCCTTGCATACTTTGATGAATATTGGGGAAAAAAAATCTTCCAGTGATTTTATTATTCCAATGCGACATATTCAGAAACTAGATGGATAGATATTTGAGTAGTTTAAAAATATGCAATGTTTAATCCCATTATAATATACTGTCAAGGGAAGGAATCTGACAATTGCCCAAATGGTTGGATGCTCTGACACACTGATCAATAGAAGACTGCTTTCACTTCAATTAAAAAGAGTCTCTGCAAAGACTTGGTTGACATCTTCTGGAGGTGGTTCAGCCTGCTGATTGCTTCCTTTGTTGGATTTGTGAAAGGCCAGCTAACTGAGTAGAAATATGCACAGAACTCAGTAACAATGAAGACTTTTGGCAAGATGGAGATATATTAAATTGCAGGTTGTTATTCCTTCCCTGAGTTATTGAAAAGTTATTTTCCACTGCCTATCAGAAACAATTGGTAAGCAGGAATATTAACCATCCTTTTAAGCAGAAGAAATAACAGGGTCTTCAGCTGTGGGGCACATGCTTTAGTTGAACAACCAATTACAATTCCAGTTTCTAAAGAAATAGCTGTTTTGCTAAGGACAATGTTATCAAGTGAGAAAGTACGCATTTTCCCCAAAGGAGTTGGGGCTTGGGTTGAAACTCCATAACAAGAGAAGCACAGGACCAATTGTGACTCCAGAGCTATAGCACCTTCTAATTTGCCTAGTAGGAAATGTTATATCTTTTAAACATTCTGCAACCTAGCAGCAGACACTTTTATACTATGATTTGAAAGTGGATATCTTAGCAGTATTTCATATCCAGGAAAATAGAGCAAAGAAATATTGTGGAATTATACAAAAAGTGAATTGAAATTTTAGATTAGTGGTTCTCAACCTGTGGGTCGGGAACCCTTTGGGGGGTCGAATGACCCTTTCACAGGGGTCACCTAACACATATTTTCAAAAAAATAACAGAAAATATAAAATAATTTTATGGTTGGGGATCACCACAACGTGAGGAACTGTATTAAAAGGTCGTGGCATTAGGAAGGTTGAGACCCACTTGTTTAGATGGAGGATATCCTCATAACATGAAGAGAAGAGCTAATAGCCTGCCAAAAGAAACTATATCAGATTTAAGGTCAAGTAAGACATAAATTTTTCATATTTTGAAGAGAACAAGCAATCTTTTGTGGTTGTCATGGAGAGATGTTTACAGGAATTGTAAGTATATACAGTTTCTCATGCCTAACAAAATTTAAATCACTGCATAGACTGAATCTAGTTATAATAGTTTCTCTTTCCAATATTCCAAATGTTACAATATTCTGTAACCACATGGGAAGATATGCCCTGAAAAATGCCAGAAAAGCTTGTTTCTCACGATTTCCCACTAAGAATTACAAAAACAGATTAATGAATCTAACCTTTTCATTTTCCAGTTTGTTTACAGTTTCCTCATAGTAGGAAATCTCAGACAACTACATTTGCACCCCAAAACCATATTCTGCAGTTCCAGAGGCACCCCAAATAGCAGCAAAATAGCACAAATTAGTAGAAGGAAATTATTCAAAAGCTGTAGAAATTGTTAGGTTCATTTTTAAAAAGCAACAAAAATAAATAGTTGTTTTAAAACTCCAAAAGTTTTAAGAGGATTAAAAGACAAAAAATATATAGCTAAGGTTTGAATTGTGGAGTCTTTGGTCCTCTCTGAGATTTCATTACTAGCCTATGTAACATCAGTGCTGCTGAGTGTGGGGTTTGCTCCTTGCTTATATACAGTAGTTTGCCCTACCAGTGTTTGTGGAGGTGTGGCTTTCTCCTTGAAAGTTCGATTAGGCTATTGTTCTTTGCTGATTGTTTATCTGTGTTAATCCCTACTCACCTGTGTTGGTTGCTGAAAGAGATATAGTCTGGCCTTGCTTTCTTTCCTTTCTTTTTTTAAAAACAAAAACTGTTATCTCTTTAAAATCGTGTGTAAATGTGGTTTATCTCCAAATGTCCACTGATGGCTGTTTTGTTTGAATGCCAATTTTCCAGGAATTCCCTAGCATTTTGGATTTAGCTTGCTATTGAATGCACCATTTTCCAGTTGAAACTATGATTCAGTCTGCTCAGATTAAGGAATTTTCATCATGTCTTCTAACTGCTAGTATGATACATATCAGAAACAACAGATTTTTACATCAAAATCTTATCAGAAACCACCAATAGATGACAACCGCAAGGCATCATCATAGCACACAAACCAACTAAAGCCCTCCAAAACATCTTAAGTAAACCAAAAGATCCTGTACCCCCCAAAAGGAAAAAAAAACCAGGAGTCATCTACAAAATACCATACCAACAACATACAACATAAGGACTGTTACAGACATTATGTAGGACAAACACGCAGAAAAGTAACAGAGTACATCCATGAATATCAACGAGCACTCCACAGGTTTAAAATGACTATTTCAGTGATAATCCTTCCTTCCAAAATATAGGTTGGAAACATTAAGTCTGTTCAATGAAGGCTAGGAGCCCTAAACACTATCAATAATTAGAAGGCAAGAACAAAGACTTAATAGGTTTCTTTCCTTTGGAAAATATGCAGCTTTTTACTGTTTTTCTTTCAAAGAAAAGAAAATTATCTTTGCTGAATAAGAATTACAGATTTAATGTATGCTTACAGCAAAACGTATGCTTAACACAATGCCAAGTATAAAACAAAAGGCATTAGGCATCTCCTTCTTTTTTAACCACTGCTTAGAAAACATAGTGTAGTATCAAAATATAAGACAAACTTATGGTCAGTCTTATTTGTTTTAAAACTAAGATTGACAAAAAGTAGCATTCAATATGTACAATACAATAATTGAATGTATTTAAATGCGTTCAAGTTAATAGGAAAATTTTAATTTACAATATACCTTAACTTCATTACATTATTTATTTAAAACAATAATTTACTTAAACAATAATGTGATTAAAATTTAGATCAGTTTTAACCAAACACACATCAGTTTCTAAGTATAAATAAGGAATGTTAACTGCATATTTAGATATTCAATGTCTGACATTAGTGGCACTTAACGGTGCCCAAACGTATTCTGACATATTTTATGTATATAATATGATTACATTACCTGAAGCTCTGCAAGGTGAAGAGTATGGAATAAGTTGGACTACATATCAAGCTAAAAACATAACATTGTATCTTAGGATATATGATCTATGCCTTATCAATTTGCTATTTGTATGTATACTGAGAGCTTATACACTGGAGACAAATTCCTTGGTGTCCAATCACACTTGGCCAATAAAGAATAATCAAATTCCAATAACTAAAAGCATAAAAATAAATTCTACTAATTATACATTTTTGTTCATACAGTAATTGAAATTTTTGCCTAATACTTTGAACCAAAAAGTCTTAGAGTCTAATAAACTTCTTACCAGTATTGCTATATATTGCATCAAATTATAATGCATCACAATCAATCCCATGCAATTCTTTTGATTCTCTTTGGTAATAGGGAGACTGGCAATAATCTCAGGCAATCATATTCAAACAGAAAGGAAAGCAAATTTCTTTGACTGCTGACGAACTATTTTTATATTATTTTGTTGTTTCAACATTATTCTCAATGGTTTCAGCTTCAACAAGGATCTAAGTTCACATATTTTATTCAGCTGGTGCTTAGACTGAGCTTAAATTTAAGAAATGCATTTCAACACCAAGTTTTAACATTTCAGAAAGTTTAGTTTAACAAAATATTTAATTTGGGGTTCAGAGACATTTTAGTTATGCCAGGAAAACATGACATTTCACTCTTATATTGTTTATGTAATAATCACAGACACTGCCATTATAATATGGTATAGTGCACTAATTGATACAGAGTTGGATCACTTCATTTTACAATTGACTAATACAGTATATACTCAATTGGACAACATAAACAATCATGAGTAACTTATTCAGTAAAATAATACTTTAAAGCATGGGAAAAAGAAACAAGAATTAAGCAAAGCTTTTCATTATTAGAAAATAATTTCATTATTAAAGTAAAGATATACAGGCTTTTTTGCTAGAATTTTTTTGGGATATAACCAATATGCTACACTTTTCCTATTCCATGCAATTTTTTTAATGAAAATACTCACATGGTTTCCAGCAATTGCTAGTAAGTTATCTTTAAACTGCAAGTGTGGTGCTGACTCTATATTTTAGCTCCAGATCTTTATCTAAATCTTTACCTCCAGCAGTACTGGAATACAGGTTTATAATGAACATAAAAAGGGAAGCTTACCTATAAAATAAGACAGTAGTATTGCCAGAAGCACAGACACCCCAACAGCACAGAGTGCTGTACATTTCCAGCTACAGTACTTTGAAGACTTCTTAAATTTAAAAGCACTTCTTGATAAGGTGTTCCTAGGTAGTGGTCGTGTAGGAGGGGAATAAACTGAGCCAGATGCCATTGTGTAACCCGGTGTTGCAGTACTGAACAGTGGTGTTGTCCCTGTTCCTGTTTTGAATAGGAAATGCCTGCAGAAAAAAAATACATACACTTAAAATCTACACAAAATAATTTGTAAAATGCTTTATATTATTTTTTTAACATGTTATCTATTATATTTCCCTGTGTATTTACTTAATGCTTCAGATAGGAATAGTTTCAAACATGATATTAAATATTTTCGCTACACGTATCAAGTACTGCATTTAAAATGTTATTAGAATTGTTGATTCATGCTGTTAATGCTCCCAACATGATTTTCTAAGAGGATTGTTAAATCAAATTAATTGTAAATTTTTCTAAAGAACATGTAAAACCTTATACATCCAGCAAAACAGTGCATAGTTTGTACCACCAACTGGATAAATATTCCCTATATTATGAAAGCCCCATGAGTTCAAGAATAAGAAAATAAATTTCTTACATGATAAGATAAAGGTTCTATAGGCCAATCTAATATCCTGTTGACTTCTGTCAGGAACCTCTCAGCTGGCAAAACAAAATACTGTAAGAATGTATTTTGTAGGTCATGACAGCTCAAAAAAAAACCAGATCTATTGCAGTAAAACTATGAAGTCATTATGAAAGAATGCCAGCGACTACTAAGTATCAAATGAGAATTCTATTTACATTTCAATCACTGTTCAATTTTTATACCTTCCCCAGGCTTGCTCCAAATTAAGGTCCTTAAGTAATCAGGTTTCCATTTGTTCTATATTTTGGTAATGGCATGACCTATTATTTGTTTTTATACTTCTGAACATGTAAAAATAACTCTCACAACTTCATACATAAATTTATTGACAATGTCCAATCTATCTAATAGGGTTGGAATTGTGGGAAAACAGATGGCGTCAGGATATAAATCTAATATACTGTAGTTCAAAAAAAATAATTAAAAAAATGCAAAGTTCAATATTGCCCTCTTCTGTGATGTCCTTTCAGTTTTCAGTCTAGGCTATATTGATGGTTATTTTTAATATCATAGTACATATATTAACCAGGAGAATCACTGGTTAACCTTTTGAGATGATCCAAGATCAGGTAGTGCTGCCATCTAATAAACTTCTTTTATAGAATAGGTTTGGACAAAAAAAGTGCCAACAACAGAAATATCTTCACATGCATTTTTAAAAAGCTGCTGAAATTACTCCCCTCCAATCTATTGGATGTAATATTGATATATTGATGTCATATTTAGTCAACTCTAAATGACATATATAACAATACATTATTTTACAGTATATGTTCCCATAGTTCTGCAGGCAATTTTCTTGGAAAATAGTGAGAAATGATTTATTCTTGTTCAGAGTGTAATAAAAATAAACTCTAAAAATATTGCTGATATTTTTAGCTAAGAGTAGAGATAACCAATTATTAGGTAACTGCTAAAATCCAGCAAGAGAACCAGGTCAATCAGTTCTTCCTATTCTAGAACTAAAAGGAATGGTGCATTATTATTTGCAGTGTCATCATAGGAACCTTGAAATTACTTGCTTGGGAAATGTCACAAAACATATTCTCCATATTCATTACAGACAAAAATGAAAAAAAAAGTTCCGTAGCAAGAATATGTAATAGGAGGAGGATGTGGAACAGCAGCCTGGACATATGGATAAAGATTTATTATCCTAACTGTATTCAACTATGCAACTCGCTATCCAAAAACAGTTCCATTAAGAAATGTGACTATTAAAAACATAGCATAGGAATTGGTCAAAATCTTTAGTAGGACAGGCATAACAAAGAAAATGCTCACAGTAAATGATCTAATTTTCAATCAGCTCTGCTTAGATGTTTTTATGCTGATTTAGGGATAAAGGAGATGCTTGGCCTTATTTTCGGAGAGGTCTTATTAATTTTGAGCTGCAGAAGGCAGTGAGCGTGGTCACCTCATGGCTGCTAATGTGTTGCAATATTTTTGGGGAGGTCTTATTTTTGGGGGAGGGCTTACTTTAGTGCATGCACTCAAAAGCCTGATTGGGCTTATTATCCAGGGAGGTCTTATTTTAAAGGAAACAGGGTAGAAAAATCACAAGTTATCTATGCTGCTTATTCCTCTCCTATTTGAGATTTCTCTCCAGCATCAGATTGGCACAGTTGTCAATAAAACTGCAACCTTGAAATAGGTGTGAGAAGAGACGGGGTAGAAGGGATGATACACATGTTCCACAAGAAAACAGACTAAAAACAGCCTAATAAAAGAAAGAATTTTTCTTTAAGGGGAGTATATGGTCCAAAGGAAAAGAAGTATAGAGACACATCAAGGAAAACTGCAAGTATAAATGCACAATGTGAAAGTTGCAGTAACAGAAGAAAAAGAAGACATTTCAGAGAGAGGAATTAAGGCAGAACAAGCAATAGAAAAAACTTACATTTGGATTGGCTTTATATTTCTCTTTTATTATCTTCATTTTTTTAAAAAAAAAAACTATCTTCCCAATTCTTAAAGGGAGATGTAAAAAAACAACTGTCTAGATTGTTTCTGTGTCTCTTAAATCTGGGACAATCTATAATAATCCAATCTAATACAATGGAAAAGAAGAACTAAGACAGACTAAGGGCTATATTTGGTATAGCCAAATGAAATATATGAATTAAATGCCAGGCGATGGTCTCCAAAAAACAATGGGCTGACCTAAACAAAATCTTAATTATGTATAATTCAATTTAATTGCAATTAAAACAAACATTTTCTAATTCTCTATTTACAATTTAATCCTTATAGTAAAACTCACCCTAGAATTATTATTTGGTAGCAAGTTTTGGAATTGGAATTACATCCAAGATACCAGAGGGTTGTACATGGTTCTGGCAGCTCAGGCTGTACATCTCTGTTGCACAAACTTTGTAATGACAAAAAAGGATCTTTCCTTTTTCATCAATATGGGCTTGCATGACAGATATAGACATTCATATAGAAGCTCACATATGGAATGCACTGAGTGATTGTTTTGTTTGACAGAAAAACAGCACACAGAGCTCTTCAATTGACAAATAAGTACCTTCTCAGTCCCCCAAGTAAAAGTAAGGCTAATGCGTCCAGGCTTCTCTCTCTTGAATATTTTACTCCTTCACTTCTGGAAAAAATACCATCAATTTCCTATGCTAGATGTCAGTTTATTGCTTTTTGGTCAAGTCACAGCAAGCAATTATCTCACTGCATTGCATTGCACAGCATAAGCTTTATTACAGTTCTAGATTAGCCTTTAGTCATTCAACTCTGTACATCTTCATATAACCAGAAATTTCCACTTGATAAAGACTCAAGCAAGTGGATCAAATGTGTTCTTTTAAAGATAATTTGGAGCTCTTAGTGGAGGAAGCATGTGTTCTATGCCTTAGGATATTTCCTAAATTTCAACACTAGGCATCACTAATGGCCAAGAAAAATACTTCTTCAACTGAGACTCTGGAAATGCAACTAAATAATTAAATCAATTATATCTATTGAAATAGACTTGTTGCTGAACCCATGTTTAAATGATTTCTCAAGGGTCCTGTATTTTAAAAATAAGTATTTAACATAAAGTATTTAAAAAAGGACATATCACAAAATCGACTGAATAATCATAGAATCATCGGGCTGGAAGGCATCTTGGAGGCCTTCTAGTCCAACTCCCTGCCCAAGACAGGAATTCTTATACCACCTTAGACAAATGTTTGTCCAATATTTTCTTGAAAACGATTAATTAATGAAACAGCTTGCTCCTGGAGTTGTGTGTTCTCCATTGCTGCAAGTTTTTTTTTTTTGGGGGGGGGGGAAAGTTGGGCAACCATTTGACTGGGGTGGTATAAAAATTTCCTGCCTTGGACAGGGTGCTGGATTAGAAGTCCTCCAAGGTCCCTTCTAGTCCTATGATTCTATGGTAAGTTATTGCTATAGGCTGTTGAAAATGCCACTAAGTAATGGTTTACTTGCAGTCAAAACCCTGATTTTGGATGATCCCTATATTCCCTTATTTTCCATTGGCAATGTGCCCTTGAAAGTCAGCGAGTAGTTTCTAGCAGCATTTTAAAAGTTTCATGTTTTAAAAGTGTAAACCTAGTGTTGGTAAAGTTAATGTTATTGCATTTTTAAAAAGGTATTTAATTAGCCACTTTTATTTTCTCCTTTCCCCCCCAGCAGGCTATTCATGAACCACATGTACCATTCATTCCAAGAAATGAGCTTGTACTTTTGTAATCTGGGGAGTAATGTATGTTTTGTGTCACAGAAGAATATATGTATTGTATATAAAATTGAAAAAAACTAGAGTTTCAATAAAATCCTCAGAATATAGCCTTAAGCGGCTTTCTTTTCTTACTTTTAATGTCTTTTTATCCCAACGAACCTACATTTACGAATGGTAAATTAGATAATCAAGTATATACAAAAACCATTCAGTAGAAGAAATTTGCAGCAGAAAAGTATTCTACTAGTTTGATTATACGTTTAAAAAAGAAAATTACCACTGAACATTTCGGATTAGAATGAACAATGAAAAGACAGTATCTGTTGCTTGCCTTGTATTGATGTGTCTAATATTGCGTTCTATGTAGGTTTAAGTGTTGTAGTTTCAATGCATGTAATTATACATAGAATGCATACAAACACTTCATATTACCTGATCTCAAGTAAGAAAATGACTGCTAATGCACAAAATCCCATTACTGCTGAAGTTGCAGTAATGTAGTATTTGAATATATATAGACACAAACCTGAGAGCTATACTAATTCTTTATATTCCCAGAAGCAGCAAAGGAGATATATTATGATGTATCTAAAATCCTGTTCCTTTACAATAGTTAAAACAGAAAGGAAGACTTTCTCTTATGCATAAATGAGAATTGAAATTATAGGGATTAATTTGGAAGGGTTTTTTTCC